TTTGAGATTCCAGCTTTGGCTTCATCTTGAACAACGGGTTGCTTACTTTTCAGCCTCTTCAGCAATTTTAAGAGTATTTTTTAAATTTTGTTTTACTTGAGTAGCAAGAAAAAAAGAAAAATATAATTATTGAGTATTAGATATGTTTGTTCACCTAAGAAACCTTCAAGGATATTTCTTTTAAAAATAAAAATTAAAAAATGGCCCACACCTGTAATACTAGCTACTCAGGAGGCGGAAATCTGAGGGTTGCAGTTGGCAAGCAACCTGGGTAGGAAAGTCTGTGAGACTTTGTTAAGAGCACTAGCCTGGAGCAAAAAAAGCTCAGAAATAGTGTTCAGGCCCTGATTTTAAACCCCATGACCGACCCCCAAAAAGTCTTTTGGAGTGTAAAGATCATTTATTTTTATTTAGTGGTTATACTTTTCAACTTTAACAATATTTAACGTTTCTGCCAAGATAAAATAATAAATTCAATTATGTGTCTTTAAAAAAAATTTTTAAGGGGGGCTGGGAAGGTGGCTCAGTGGTAGAGCGCTTGCCTTGCATGCCTGAGGCCCTGGGTTCGATTCCTCAGCACCACATAAGCAAAAAAAGAAAAAAAGCCGGAAGTGGCGCGGTGGCTCAAGTGGTAGAGCGCTAGCCTTGAGCTGAAGAGCTGAGGGACAGTGCCCAGGCCCAGAGTTCAGGCCCCACAACCAGACCAAAAAAAAAATTTTTTTTAAAGTAGTTTTTAGCCAGGCACTGGTGGCTGAGATTGTTGGTATCAAGGTTCTAGGCCAGTCCAGGGAGAAAAATTTACAAGACTCTTTCTCATTGAAGAGCTGGACTTTGGTGGGGACCACCTGGTTTTCTGGCTATAACTACTAGGAAGTCTATATGACCAAAAAACTCTCCTTGGGCAGGGAAGGTCTATCTAGCTCAAAAATTATAAGCAGAAAATAAGGTAAGAGGTATGGCTCAGCAATTAGAACACACAAAACAAGCGAGACCAGAATTTAAATCCTGAACCAAAAAACAGGTACATTTTTCTAGAATTGGGTTGTAGCTCAGTAGTTCAATGCACTCCAGTGGGAAGCACTGGGTTCCTGGCACCAAAAAAAAAAAAAAAAAAAAAGTGGTTCTTTTTGTTGTTGTTTTAGGGTACTGGAGTTTGAAGTCAGGGCCTCATACTTGCTAGGCAGGTAGATGTTCCACTAATTGTACCACACACACACCCCAAATCAAAAGTTGTTTTTGCTGGTTTTGGAGCTTGAACTCAGCACCTAGGCCCTGTCCTTGAGCTTCTTTGTCCAAGGCTAGCGCTCTACTACTTGAGCCACATCTCCACAGCTGGCTTTTTTTTTTAAACATAGTTTATTGGAGTCTCATACTTTACTTCAGATCTCAACCTCCTGAGTAGCTAGGGTTACAGGTGTGAGCCACTGGCACCTGGCCTAAAAAGTTATTTTTATGAATATATTTACCCAAAATGACAGCCTAAATTAGTTGCAAATACTCACACCATACTCTTCCTGTCCGACTCTGACAAGAATGAGTTGTGAAATAAACCAAGCTAAGCCTTAAAAAGGATTAAGATGAGGAAAAAAGCAAAATGACTAGACACGTAATCTTGGCCATATATATATATATAAATGTTTAAACATATATATATATATGCACATCTGAGGGAAGCTAGGAGGAAGACAGAGAATCAGAGGGAAAGGGAAAAAATACAACAGAGGGGCCTATCAGTTGCACTGGACATTGATGAAAATGAACCAAACAACTCAAGGGCAACGATGGGAGGGAGGGAATGAGAGGGAAAGAGGGAACAGCTCACACTAAGCAAAAACAAAGAAGTATACATATCACCTGATGTAGAAGAAATAGCTGTATTGTCAAAGCTTATAGAATTCACAAACTATACAGACCAACATAATGACAATTTGCCTTGTGAAGGTTAAAATGTTTGTAACTTTAACTAAGTATCACTATCCTACAATACTGTGAAATTTGTTAAATTTATGTAAATCACTTAATCTCAATAAAAAATTATTTTAAAAAAAGAAATGACTAGAACATGACAGAATAGTCCTTATTTTTCTTTACGTAAAAAATACCTGTGGGATTTACACTTATCTGTCCATTAGCACTGGCAAAAAGACCAAGGTAGAAATAAACCCCTTTGTGACCTCAATCAAAATGGAAGAGCCTATCCTTTTCACACTTGTAATCCTAGCTACTCCAGAGGCTGAAATCTGAGGATCACAGTTCAAAGCCAGCCTGGGCAGGAACGTCTATAAGACTCTTAATTTCACAATTAATTATTTCACAATTAACCACCAGAAAACTGGGAGTGGTGCTGTGGCTCAAGTGGTAGAGTGCTAGCCTCGAGCTGAAGAATTCAGGGGCAGTACCCAGGCCCAGAGTTCAAGCCTGGAGACTGACAAAAAAATAAAAAATAAAAAAAGCTCTTGACTACCCATACTCACTCATTGATAGCTGACACTGCTCTCTACCTACTGCCTAAAAAGTGAAAAACTTAAAGTCAGGTCATACATAATGATGTAAACAGAACACTGTGATTATTATAACCATGTTCTACCTACCTCTCTTCCTCTAGCTCTCCATCCATGTCTGCCACCAAATTCTTGGTGGAATATCTGAAGGATTAATGCTTTACTTAAGCAAGTTGATGGCAGGGGAGTCAGGTGGACTAAATTTTATGAGAAAAAAAAAAACGTTTGCTTCTAGCAACTTCTTCATTTTAGGATTTCCTGAGGTAGAACCTCTTTCTGGAGTCAAGTTTTCCAGACCTGATCTCTTTAGCTTTAGACAATTGAGACCACTTGCTTCAGTTAATGAATGAATGAATGAATGAATGAATGATCTCTTCAGAAGATTCTGCTCTAAACACCGTCACAGCCTCTCTCCTCTCAATGGCCTGAGTACTACCTGAATAAGTTGTAGGAGATGCCACATACTAGCCTCTCAAAATACTATGCAAGTCATTCCTTTACACACCAATTCCTTTATGAGTTCTCTAAGTTATTATCACCCATTATCTCCAACTCTTAAGAAAGTAGTATTGCTGTTGAGTTGGAACTAGTCATTGGAGCTCACCTCAAGCAACTGTCCACATAGATCATCTCAGATCCAAGTCCCACTTATTGAATTTCCAAAACAGAACAAGGGGATCTTTCTAGAACAGACACAAAGGCCTCACACAGACTATGCATATTGGTATTGGTATATTGGTATTTTCAGCAAATGGCTTAGGTAACTTATACATACTTGCTTGGGTCATAAAGTTCTAGTTGGTCTATATTTGTACTGAAAGCACCAAGAACCTTTAGATACAAAAATGGACAAAATGAAAAAGATTAGTCCTTAGTTCTTCCCAGTGAGAAACTTCTGCTTCATAACACAGTACTACAGTTTAGATAGAATAACTGACCAAATGAGGTCACAGATCTGAGCTGTCAGAATGTATATCAAAGCAATTCATTACAAAATTACAAACAGCGGTCTCACATCTCTCTCTCTCTCTCTCTCTCTCACACACACACACACACACACACACACACACACACACACACACACACACACACACACGCAAGCCATACAAGTCTTCATCATAATCTTCAGCCACTTCCAGAAAAACAGGCTTTAAATAATCTTTAGTCAGGTACCAGTGGCTCACACCTGTAATCCTAAATACTCTAGAGGCTAAGATGTGATGGCTGCTCTTCAAAGCCAGACTAGATAGGAAAGTCTGAGACTCTTCATTCCAGTTTATCACTAGAAGCAGGAAATAGAGGTGTGGCTCAAGTGATAGAACACCAGTCTTGAGCAAAAGAGCTAAGCGACAGTGCCCTGAGTTTAAGTGTCAGTACTGGCACAAAAATAAGTAAATAAATAAATGAAAATAAAGGATATTCAAGAATGTGGGCACATCTTGACAAAATTCGAAGGATTTCTGATGGTTGGTGTAAACAAGTATTATCAAAAGGCTTAAAAGAATTGCTTACACAGAAATGGAGGGACAAAGGGTGAACAAATGCAGCAGTCACTAGACACTACATTGAAAATGAACTATACAACTTGTGGGTGGGAACAAGAGGGAAAAGTTGGGAGAGAGCAACGGAAGAGGTGACACTGTCCAAAAAGAAATGCACTCATCATTGACTTATACAACTTTAATCCTGTTGTGTATCACCTTTATAGTAACTATAAAAAATATATTTTATTAAAGAATTGCTTAATATGTCAAGAAAGTTGATAAGGCTTTTATAGATTATTCTAACATCTCACTTTAGATTAGAATATACACCTTTTTTTTTTTTAGACAGTTTTGCTCTGTTGCCTAAGGGCTGGCCTCCAATTCATAATCCTTCTGCCTCAGCCTCTCAAATGTTGGAATTACAGGCTTGCTCCAAACACCTAGCTTGACCTATGATCCCAGCTACTCAGGAGGCTGTAGCAGAAAGATTTTAAGTTTGTGGTATGTAGGATACATAGTAAGACCCTGCCTCAATTAAAAAAAAAAGTCACAGATCTTAGCTACATGGAATTCTTGTGGATTGCAATCTATGAGAAAGATCCCATCTGTTTCATTCTTTAACCTAAATTTAACCTCTACAACAATGCTTGGCATATTTCTCAAGTGAGATAAAACAAATGCAACAATCCAGAATAAAGAAGAGTGACATTTTATCAACTAGCTCCATGCTAGTGAATAATAAGGAATGGAATGGAAATAAAATACTGACCAGCAGCCAGGTTTTTCTATATAAATAAAAACCATCTCAAACGGGACTACCAAAGCTCCCTGAAAGACAAATTCTAGTGGCTTTTTGGTCTTTTTTTTTTTTTTTTTACTTCATCCTTCTAAGACTATTATTTATCAGACACAAATTAAACCTTAAATTGTCACAGCTATAGAGCTGAGCTTTCCTGGTCTCCCTAGTGAAGTTCTCAAACCCAAGTTCTAGTTCAACAAAATGAGACAGGGCCATCAGGAGCAGCTGTATAATTTTAATCTAAAGATTTGAGGATACAGAAAGCATTTTACACAATTTTTTTTGAGGTTTTAAATTATATGACAGGACATAAGGGCCCCAGAAAAATAGGTCTTTTCTCATAATTAATCCTTGGCATCTGCAGTAAAGACGATTCCCTGGTAATCTAACAAGTACTTATTAGTCCCTCCCCAACACAATTTAGTAAGATGTCCTGTCAAATAAATAGCCTAAACTATAACATATAGCCTGAGAAGTAACAATATGGCCCAGTGACCAATACATACATACATAAGCCTTTTTTAAATTCTATATTTGTTTGTTTGTTTTTTAATTAGGATGGTGACTGGAGTTGCTAGCTTCTTATCTTCTACTAACAGTGTGATGTTCAAGAGGGCCAAGAGTTAATTGTAGAAGGTACTGTTCAATGTTAGTTTTGCCAAATGATGCACAAGGATCCCAGTGAAGGAAGCCATTAATTGTTTGTTTACACTTTAGTTTCCTATCTCTAAGTTAGCTATAGGCTCCCCATGCTCTATTTCAGTCACATGTAATTTTTAAGACTCTGCAGTGGGGTGGGGGGGAAATGTTTCACATATAATTAAGAAGAATGTTGCTTGATAAGAGCTGGGACTGAGCTCAAAATAAATCCATCCTGGCAAAACCTCCTTCTGCTTGCTCTGGAAAGAAAAAAGAACACGGACTGATACATAAGGAAGTAACCAAGATGAAAAGGAGGGAAGAAATACAGCTTGAAGTGAAGAAATGACACAGATCTCCCACATACACACTTTAAAAACTTTATTTATATAAAAAACTCATTTGTTTTTAAAAGCATTAACAAGAGAGAAAGAAAAAAAGAGGAAAGGTATGGAGCAGAAGACATGCCCCTTAGTAGTGTTCGGTGGGAAGGTGGGATTTTTGGTTCTCTGGAATTGAAAGTTTAGTGTTTATATAAATGAAAGAGAGGAAAAAAAAAAGTGTAAGGTCCCCAAAAGCCATGGCTATTCTATTACCCACACCCCACCGAGAACAAAGAGCACCAGGAAGAGCAGAGGAGGACAAGAGAACCAAGAGTGGAGCCAGGTGTGAATGGGGCAAGTTCCCCTGTGCAGTATGCTCTGAGGGTCTGAGAGCAAAGGACTCCTTGCCAGAAAAGGCAGATGAAGTGGAAAGAAATGGGGGGCAGGGGCAAAATAAGGAGGTTAATGCATGGGGAAGGGGGTTGGTGGGTTGTGCACTTTTCTCTTACCCCATAGCCTCAATATATTAAGGGAAGGGGAAGAGAGGGATAAAGAATTCCAGTTGAATTTTTGAATAGAGCTTTTAGATTAAGGAAAATAGAAGGTAAATAAGGAAAAGGTTCCAAAGGAAAAAAAAAAAAAAAATCAACCCACATAGCAGCTGATTCCTCTAGCCCAACCTAAATAAACACTAAAGTGAGAGCGAGCATACTGGGGAGAGGGAAAAATTGAGGAGACCATATAATTTCCTAAGACTTCTTCAGAGATGATAACAATTCTTGATAACTAAGGAGTAAAAGTTGGACACTCACTCCTGTGACAAATTCCCCTTTGAGATTCATCAGGGTGAGATTTTGATAAAAGCCTAATCACATGCTCTTGAGCAAAAAGCTCAGTATGGCTGAAATGAAAGACTACACCAATCTGCAGTAGGGAATCTGAGGTTCTCTAGGTCACCTCTCCTTTCTGCTACCAGGGGATAAGAAAGCAACAAAATATAACTCGCAAAATCATGAGAAATGAGACTGCAGAGGTAAAGAAAGGCACATGGAAGGGAAGGAGGAGATACACCCCAGGCCAAAGGCACAAAGAAGAGGCAAAGCCAGGGGCAATCTCCACCTTGTATGGGTAAAAGGGACAGGAGTTATGTACATCAAGTCCTATAGTTGGCCAACCAATCCAGGAAAAGAGGCAAGGGCCTGTAAGGGTAGGAAAGGGAGAGATGGGGCAGGGAGAGGGGGGAAGCCAACTTTGAAGCTTCCTGACAGTTTCAGACTAACCACTTCATGTACATTCCTTCTAGCTCCTCTTAGAGGTTCCTCTTCTTCCCAAAAGACATCTTTCTGCTCCTCTCAACCATAAAGTCTTCTTTGATATTATGTATACAGTCTCTTGCAAATGGCCAGGCCAAGTTAGCAGACTTAGCACTGGGCGGGAAAAGAGGGTTAAGGACAATCTTGGTAAAGGACAATGGAAGCAGCCCCAGAGTTGGCCTGAGGCTCACAGAAGAGAGGGAGTCTGTAGATCCTTGATGGCGCCGGCCTCAGAGAGGAGGAAGCAAGAGTTCTTGGGTTCTCAGTTTCAGTTCTAGGAGACCTTCACTTACTCCAGGGCCCTTGCCAGGTGGAATGTGCCAGCCTTCTTTGCTTCAAAAATAGCCACTGGAGTAAGGAAAGAACATAGACTTCCCATTCTCCAAAAGAAAAAGAAAAAGTCCCTTCCTCACCAGAAAAAAAAAATAATCTTAAGAATCATCAGTTTATCAGACTGCTGGACATTGCATACAGAGCATGTAACTTCCAATTCTTCCCACGGCTTCCAGTGAACATCTGCACTCTCTCCCTTTCTCCACGCAAAACCACAAGTTCCAGGGAGCGCTGACAAAAAAGAGCTAATCTGCAGCAGTTTCTCAAGGTTTGCAAATAACTGAGTCAGGTTTCTTGGGAGAAATTGGAGGGGTCGCAGGGTGGGACAGGGGACAGGTCAACGAAACCTCGATGGAAGAAGTTGGGAATTTATGGAATGAAGGCAGCCACTTTGGGCTATAAAGGGCAGGAGGCAGCCTGGCAGTTGGCACAATAGTCCAGCGAAGAAAGGGAGAAAAAAAAAATCATCAGTCCATTTCACCACCAAAAAAATAAAAGTACATATATTATAAGCCCAGATGGAGCAAGGATAATAGTTCTAAATCTTCTGCTGTAAGGAGAAAAAAAAAGAAAGAAAGAAAGAAAGAAAAGATGTTAATAAGGTTGGGTAGAAAATGACCTGAAAAAAACAGTTGAGCAAATCTGGGCAAATGAAAGCACCACACAACGGAGAATCAGATCACCAGCTGCATGTCCCAGTCTTGGAAGAGGTAATAATCACAGAAGCAGAGCAGCCCGGCCCCACATGGCTGAGACTCGTGTCTCTGGCCTGATCAGATCAGTGATTGGCAAACTGCTGGCAGACAGGAGCCTCCTTCCTCAAGGACCATTTGGGAGTGACTGGAGGACATACCATGGAGGGGTAAGACACTTGGTCCCCCTCATCATCCAAAACCAACTCTTCCTCCAGAGATTCCTGCCCCTCGTCCAGCTGTGAACACATGCCATTTGTTAGTATGAGAGTAGTGATAAGCACCTCATAGGTGTGTGCCAGACCTAGAGAAAATCTCAAAATTTGTAAATCCAAACAAACATGATAGTAAAAAAAGGTGAACCATTCATATATAGGCAGGAAGAGGGCAATATACGACAGATTAGTTGATGTTAGTTCTATCAGAAGCACCTCCATATGAAGATGTAATCTCCCTCCTCACAACTCCCTCAGTGTAGAATAATGGCCCAAGAAATCCCAAGATGGGGGGAGGGAGAACAATTCTTTTTTCCTGGAAAATTCCTAGCAGAAAAAGATGCTATCTTTCTCTTCATAGCTTTTTCTTTTTTTCTGTTCAAATCGAACCAGCTTTAGATACACAACAGTATATATAAAGAGGATTTACCATCAAGGGTGTGCCCTTCAATGGCTCCATGTCACCTAGATCCCCAGATCGATCCAGTGTTCTGTTATGGTCCCCTCTTTCATTCAGTGTGGAATAGTTGTTATCTATTTAAAAAAAAAAAGTACACAGAAACTTTATATTCTCATCTAATATACAACATATATCAAGCAGATACATGTGAAGGAAACATCACTGTTGGAAACTTTGCCTAATGTTTCAAAAAGCCATTAAAGTCTGATGGCCCCAGACTTAAAAGGAATTCAAATAAGGAAGATGATATATATGAAAGACCCAGGACTGGGACTGGGACATCCATTAGACCCGAAGTTCAATCCCCATTCATTGCAGAAACAAAACACCCAGACTGTGACACATGGTAATAAGGCTAAACTGAAGACACTGGTCTTTAAGAGGTATTCAAATTAAGAGGAGTTGGAGGTATGGTACAGTAGGTAGAACACTAGCCAATGATTGAAAGTGTCAGGTAAAAAGTTCAAATCTCAGTCTCAAAGAAAAAAAGAAATTAAGAGAAGAGTCACAGATGCTGCAATAGGAAGGCCCTGACAAAGGAAAAGTCACTCTGGACCATTTGGCGATGAAGAGAATTTAGAAAAGCACATGTGAAGGAGATTTCAGTAGAAGCAAAGTTGTTTTTAAATACAGAATGAAAAGATGGAACAGCAAGTGGACAGCTAGTCTGGAAAAGTGCATGAGGAAAAGACAAAGAGGCAGACTGGTGCAGAATGTGATGGGCTAACTTGAGACATACAAGCTGGCTTCTGTAACGATGGGGGAAGCACAAGAAGACTTCCTGAGATGTCTGAGTACATGAAAAAAAGGAGATGAATCAAGTTTTACTAACATTTACCACATACTTCCAAATGGAAATAATCAACCAACGTTCTTTTAGGCTAGTAAATGAGGGTGTTAGAAAACACTACAGTAGGCTGGGAAGGTGGCTCAGTGATAGAGTACTTGCCTTGCATGCATGAGGCCCTGGGTTCGATTCCTCAGCACCACATAAGCAAAAAGAAAAAAGCCAGAAGTGGCACTGTGGCTCAAGTGGTAGAGCGCTAGCCTTGAGCTGAAGAGCTGAGGGACAGTGCCCAGGCCCAGAGTTCAGGCCCCACGACCAACAAAAACAAAAAACAAAATACTACAGTAAGCCAGGCACTGATGGCTCATGCCTGATAATTCTAGCTACTCAGTAGGCTGAGATCTGAGGATCGCGGTTCAAAGCCAGCCTAGGTGGGAAAGTCCATGAGACTCATTTCCAATTAATCACCAGAAAACTGGAAATGGCACTGTGGCTCAAAGTGGTAGAGTGCTAACCTTAAGCAAAAGAGCTGAGGGACAGCACCCAGGCCCTGAGTTCAAACCCCATGACCAACAAAAAAGGAAAAAAGAAAACACCAGAGTGATGGTCAGCTCTATACATCCCAATGCAATAGTATTCCATATTGTTAGGCAGGAAATAATCACCTACCTAATAATTTTGTGTTTGATCCCATATTACTCATTTGAATTTCTTCCCGGTCAGGTTTCTTATCTATATGGAATTAGAAAGTTATCCAAGTTAAAAGCTAGATTTTCAAAATGTGCATAACACATTACAAATTGCCCTCTGGTCTGTCCTCCTTCCCTTCCTTCAATGAAATTTTTAGTTATCACTCATTACGTAAACATGAGTCCAAGTCTATATCTGTAACAAGCACCCAAGGGACTCTGAGAGATCCCTTTCCTACAGACTCTAAATATGAAAAGCACCTCCATTTATGCTAGAAGTTTTTGAAAATTATTCAGCATCAAAGCCCCTCTGTGATCTTAAAAATTATAATCAAGTCAGTGGGGATACAGCTCAATGGTAGAACAATTTTGTAGCCTCAGTGATATCCTAATAAAAAAAAGGCTGGGGGCTTTGTCTCAAGTAGTAAAGCAGTAGAATGTGTGTTAGCCAGCATAAAGCCCTGCATCTAAACTCCAGTACCACCAAAAAGAAAAAAAGGGAAGCCAGGCGCCAGTGGCTCACGCCTGTAACCCTAGCTACTCAGGAGGCTGAGATCTGAGGATCGAAGTTCAAAGCCAGCCTGGGCAGGAAAGTCTGTGAGACTCTTCTCTCCAATAAACCATTAGAAAACTGGAAGTGGCCCTGTGGCTCAAGCGGTAGAGCACTCGCCTTGAGCTGAAGAGCGCCAAGGACAGCACCCAAGCCCAGAGTTCAAGCCCCACGACTGACAAAAAAAAAAAAAAAGAAAAAGGAATATAGGAAGAGAGAGAGAAAGAGAAAAGAAGAATAGGAGGAAAAGGGATAAGAAAGAAAGGGAAAGGGGGAAGGAAGAAGAACAAGAAAAGAGAATATAAAGATCTAGGAATGATATAGTAGCTCAAGTGACAGAGTACTTGCCAGCAAGCCCAAGGCTCCTAAGTTCAAATTTCAATAACACCATCAAAAATATTAATAGGGTGCCAGTGGCTCACACCTGTAATACTAGCTACTCAGGAGGCTGAGATCTGAGGGTTGTGGTTCAAAGCCAGCTTGGGCAGGAAAGTCCATGAGACTCTATTCTCTAATTAACCACCAGAAAACTAGAAGTGGCACTGTGGCTCAAAGTGGTAGAGCAAAAAAACTCAAGGACAACACCCAGACCCTGAGTTCAAGCACCACACCAACCAAAAAAAAAAAAAAAATAGTCAGGCACTAGTGGCTCTTGCCTATTAAGCCTAGCTATCAGGAAGCTCTGATCTGAGAATTACAGTTCCAAGACAACCCAGGCAGGAAAGTCCATGAGATTCTTTTATCCCTAATTAACCACCAAAAAGCCAGAAGTGGAGCTGTGTATCTTAAGTGGTAGAAGCACTAACTAGCTTTGAGCATAAAAGCTCAGGTACAGTGCCCAGCCCTGAGTTCAAGTCCTAGGACTTGTGTACACACGCACACGCACTCACGCACATGCACACGCACACACATGTACACACACACACACACACACACAAAGGAAAAGATAATAAATGTGTAACTTATGATCTAAGTAAAAGAGGAAAAACTTACAAAGCAAAATGTATTCATCATCTCCTGAAGAAAAATGTGTTTGTTTACATGGTAAAAGGATTTAAAAGCTATAATCCAAAATAATAATGGTTTTCTGGTTATATTATTTAGTATTATATAAGAATTTAAAAGAGAAAAAAATAAAGAGAAACTAGAATTCACTGCCTAGTAATTTTAAGTTCATGAAAAAAAGAGAAATGGTACCCAAGCTAATTGTTTATTTTGAATTCAAATGATCATATCTATCCTCTTATGCACAATGGTGCACACCTGTAACACTCAAGAGGCTGAGACAAAATGAACAAGAGTTCAAGGCCAGTTTGGGCTACAGAGCAAGACATCTTATCTCATAAAACTCAAAGGGTTTAGGGAGCAATGCATTATTGTCCTCTCACAATGACTAGCTCATTGAGAAACAAATATGTGCTCTATTTCTTAGTTTAATAAGCTCATTAAGGAATAGCAGGAGTCATAGGTTGGGTGAGGTAGTGCACATCTGTAATTTCAGCATTCAGGAGAGTGAGGAAAGAACACTGTGAATTCAAAAATTGTCTTGGCTACCTAGCAAGATCAAAGCACCTTGCCCTCTCCCCACAATAAAAAGGAACACAGGAATGGCTCAAAGAAAAAAGGTGTGTCTGTTGGGTTCCATACCTGGTTTTTGGTTCCGGTCAATGAGAGGGAGAGTACTATCATCATATGAATGACTGCTCTGACTTCTAGAAGCATTATTTAGATTCACCTGTAACAAATATAAAATGCAATATCATAGAATACTAAATTTGAAATACACCTACATATTTTTAAATCCCTCTTCCAACGTGGCCTACTTCCCCAACTCTGCACCGCAATTATGAGTTCCTTCCTCAGCCTATTTTCACATGCATATCTCCCACCCCCTGCGACTCCTCATTCATCTTATTTCCTAATAGGTTTAAGCATCTAAGTTCCTATTAACAACTACAACTCTTTTTTTTCTTTTTTTTTTTTTGCTGGACATGGGGCCTGAACTCTGGGCCTGGGCGTTGTCCCTCAGCTCTTCAGCTCAAGGCTAGTGCTCTACCACTTGAGCCACAGCGCCACTTCCAGCTTTTTCTGATTATGTGGTGCTGAGGAATCGAACCCAGGGCCTCATGCATGCAAGGCAAGCACTCTGCCACTGAGCCACCTTCCCAGCCCCAAACAACTACAACTGTTAAGAAAGGAAACTTGCCAGGTGCCTGTGGCTCACACCTGTAATCCTAGGTACTCAGGAACCTGAGATCTGAGGATCACGGTTCAAAGCCAGCCCTAGCAAGAAAGTCCTTGAGACTCTTATCTCCAATACACCATCAGAAAACTGGAAGTTGCACTGTGGCTCAAGTGGTAGAGCGCTTGCCTTGAGCTGAAGAGCTGTGGGACAGCACCTAAGCCCAGAGTTCAAGACCCAGGACCGACAAAAAAGAAAAAAAAAAAAAGAAAAGAAAGAAAAAAAGAAAAAGAAAAGAAAATGAAAACTATTGGGTTGAATAAATATTCTACATAACGAAAAAATAAGCTTCTATTTGTATTCCTGAACAAAAGTACAAACACTTATGCTATATTAGAAGGAAAAGTCTCAGAGAATAGTAAACTCCCTGAAAGTGTCGGGATAGGTTTGAGATAGTCACAGGAGTCATCATTCATTACATCAGTACTCACTGCAAGTTATGACATGGAAGACTAGAGCTATTTCAGTGCAGCAATCTCTCACTAATTGGAAGACTTGGGTCAAAAGCAGATTTAGGGGGATGGTGAAATAGAAGAAACTAAAGAATACAGAAGTATTAACTACAACTGAAGGGGGGCGGCAGTCTTGGCTTTCAGAATTATACCTGAAAATCTGATTTCTTCCATCCTTCTTTTTCCAGTGGCTTCCGCAGTTCCTTATACCCCCAGATTGTCTGTAATACAAGTGCTGCTGCTCGAACCTCTTTTTCTGAGCGATTCCTTTTGAAGAAAGTAACATCTCATGAAATTTGGATATGTGAGAAGGAATAGAACTTAGCACCTGTATCCTCTAACAACATATGAATATAAGTACCAAAAAGGGTAAAAAAAAAATCGGTCTTTTACCAAATCCTGTATTCTGCACCAAATACTAAAATAATCTTGTTTGAAGAATCTATTACCAATTTATATATCAGTATTTTGACCGAAAATAAAGAAGCAATAACTTCATATTTCACAGGCAAAGGGTAATAAGGGGAAATACTCTCAGGAGGCAGAAACGCAAACCCCATATCATAGTCAAATTCCTCCAGCTATGAATGTTGTAATTTAAGACTCACCCTGACTTGTTGATCAATACCAGCTTCTCAATACCCTGTGTCTCTCGAAGCTTTTTGGCAGCCTCCAAGTTTTCAGCAATGACTTCATTGATGGTATTCAAAATAGAGACCACAGTATCCTCAGAGAAATTCCAGGAGGAGTTCTGCTGTCCTCCTGGCAGATTCTTTACCAAGTTAGGAATAGCATGTTTACCTATAGCAGTTAAAGGCAAAGTCAGGTCATTATATGGTATATACTGGTCAAATGAAGTAAAAACACTGTCCATATGAATCCAATTCATTATGCTATAGGATTATCATATTAAAGGACAGGAAACAGATATGCAGTACTGTCTGGTCCTTCATTTCTTCCCCCTTCTTCAATCACATTCATAGTGTGAATACTGAATATATCAAATGTGCTACCCAGTCTTCTCTGGTACTCTAATGAGAACTATTAAATACTGTAGAAATTCAATTCAGTGGTCATTATAAACTTAAAGAATTAACAAATTGGGCTCTGCCATTAACTAGTGATCTGGGCAGATCACTTTTGTGATCCAGTTTCCTTATCATATTAAGAGAAAAAAAAGGACTTTGGTAAAATGGTGAGGAGAAGATAAAGACACAGAGAAAGGCTTAACAATAACTAGTAACAATGTAGGTACTTAATAAGGAAGAGTCTTTTTTGTTTAAGAGCATAAGAACCATTTCTAAGAACCATTAAAAGATGAACTCTCAGCAATGTGCAGACATACTAACTGTAAGGCTATAGCCCCAGCCTTCCCTTCTGTGATTTTAGTAAAAAAACTGCCAATAAGCACCTGCTCAATTACGCACAATGCTAACCACTCGCTGGCATTCAGCTCCTTACCGATTAGCTCTTTGTTGCGAGCATCCACGGCCAGATTTCTCAGTGCTCCAGATGCAGCTTTCACTACTCGCTCATGTTCATTGGTCAGGAGGTCAGCTATGGCAGAGAGCGCCTTCTCTTGACGCAGAGCAGAGCGGATGTATCGACCATACTAAGTAGCATATGGAAGTAGCAGAACAAATTACCAATGGCAGCAAACTAGTGACCTAAGTTGTCCTACTTGCAAATCCATTTTCTAATGAATACTCACTGTCCAGCGCCCAGCACACAAATTCTGGATGGCTCCAGCAGAAGCTTCAAGGATAGCAGGAGTCTTGCTCTCCTTAAGGAGTGAGATGTATATCCGAACCACCTCCGGCTGAAATAAAAGCTCATAGCCTGTACGAGAAAGAGCCGGGAGGGCAGAAGATGCCAATCACTACGACAAACAAGACTTTGGCTGTTTAGAGTCCAGTCTTATCACTACGGGTGAGGGGATTTACGCTCCTAAAAACAAACTCAGGGCCTTGATTCTATACCTCATTCTTTCATTCATTTATTCATTTTGTGGTATTGGGTTTAAACTCAGAGATTCAAACTCAAGTTTACTAAGCCAACCGCTCCAACCCTTTTAGCTTTTGTTTATCTTTTTTTAGATCAAGAGGGCTCATACTTTTGCCCGCATTGGTCTCACCTCAGACTGTGATTCTCTTCTCTCTCTGCCTTCAAGTTCCTGCAATTACAGGTGCATGCCACCACACACCTTGTTGTTGTTTTTTTTCTATTGTTATTATAAAGGTGATGTACAGAGGGGTTACAGTTTCATAAGTATACCTTGTTGGGTTTTTTCTGAGTGTTTATAAAGCATTTTTTTATTTTCCTATTGTAAAGATACTGTACAGAGGGGTTACATTTACATGAGCAAGGTAGTGAGTACATTTCCTATAGAGCATTGTTGCTATCTCTTTGTTTTTCTCCTACCATTCCTTCCCTCCCCCAAATCCTCCCTCCTCCCCTACCCCCAAGTTGTAAAGTTTTCAACATAGTGTTTTGTATTATCTCATTGTTACAATGGGTCAACCTGCATCCTTGTTTCAGCATTTTGTTATTTCCCTTCTAATCCCCAAATTAGAAAAATGTATATATAAGATGCAGGGCACTGGAATCACATACAGTGAAAACAGGTGTTATACCATGGGGGGGAAGAAAATACAAAAGAAGCAAAAAAATCACAGTACATTTAAAAAGAAAATAGCAACAAATTAAAAAACCTCTTGTGTCCCTATCTTGGAGTTCATTCTGCTTAGCATCATTTTATATGGCACACCTTGGTTTTTTTGGCTTTTTTTTTTCCAGTCATGGTGTCTGAACTCTGGGCCTGAACACTGTCCCTCAGCTCTTCAGCTCAAGGAGAGCACTCTACCACTTGAGCCACAGCACCACTTCCAGCCTTTTCTGTTTATGTGGTGCTGAGGAATTGACCCCAGGGCCTCATGCATGCAAAGCAAGAACTTTACCACTGAGCCACATTCCCAGCCTCTACCCCTTGTTTTTTAATATAGGGTCTCGTTAACTTTTTTGTTCAGGTTAGCTTTGAAGCACAACCCTACCTCCCAAGATTTGGGTTTTTCTTGAGAAAGAGTCTGGCCATGTAACCATGCAAGCCTTAAGCTCATGAGTTTCCTGCCTAAGCCTCTGAGTCCTGAGGTATGCATCATCACATATGGGTGAGTCCTTGCCTTCATAAGAATTAGGCCATGGTAGGGCTAACGTGTTGCTTTAGAGTGGTAGAATGCTTACCTTACAAGTGTAAGGCTCTAAGTTCAAACCCCAGTACCAGAAGGAAAAACAAAGGACTTGATCCATAGTAAAAGCAAAATGGAGCATATATCAGCTCATCAGGTTCAGCTCATCTCTCTCCTTCTTCTTCACCTTCCCCCTCACCCCCCAGCTTATTTTGGCCTTGGTTCTACCATGAGCACTCTAGAAATTCATTCATCTCATTCACTGCATTCAAGGTTAAAAAAATTCCTTCTCTCAAATGAATTACTTATAATTTAACCCAATTATTCTCCCTACCATTACTGTTACAAAATAAGAGATCACCATAGGTTTAGCAATATTTACATTTTTTAATAGCCAGGGACAACTATGAGCTTCATGTTGATCAAAACAGTGATTCCAAAGATCCTAACTATGATGGAAACTTCTTTTAATATTAAGGTTTATGAGCCCCCGAAAAGTCCAGTAACAAGGTAGCTAAGTTTCCTGCTCTAGACTACCATTGAGACCTTTCTCTATCCTCAAGTAACCTGAAATGCTGCCTAAACAAGCAGTCCTTCAGAGGTCACTGGTGTAAACTATAAAATTTTCCAATACTTTCACTGTCTCTTTCACCATAAGTTAAAAAGAAAAAAAAAAAAAAAACAGGGTTGGGAAGGTAGCTCAGTGGTAGACTGCTCGCCTCACATGCATGAGGCTCTGGGTTCAATTCCTCAGTACTATCTAAGCAGAAAAAGCTGGAAGAGGCACTGTGGCTCAAGTGCCTTGAGTTGAAGAACTGCGCCCAGGCCCACAGTTCAGCCCCCAAGACTAACAAAAAACTAAACTAAACAGTAAACATATTGTACAAAGTCAGCTGTTACCATGCCCAGATACCATATCTGTATGTTTTTAAGACCCTGGGAGACTAAGCGGGCGGGGGGGGGGGGGGGGGGGGGGGCGGGCGGGAGGGGAACCTACCTCGAGCAGGACTAGTTCTTTTTGGAAAATCCACTGTATCATTTGCTGGATCCTCTGTGGGCTTCTTCCCTATAGAAACAGGGAGGGTGGGGAAAGGCAAGGAGAATAGGGATAAAGAATTTAAGAAAGAATATTCCATAACACATTTTTTTCCTGCATTCTTCAGTCAGGATCTTTGGATCAAAGATGTATCAAAAAGGCCAAAAGAAGAGGAGGTCCTCCCATACTTGACCTAGCAGGGGGCTATGCAGAGACAAAGGACAGAAAACAAGCAGCAGACAGGCACAAGGGTGACCAGTCTTGTGGCTATGGAACTGAGTTCTGAGAACAAACATTGCTGCTCAGAAATAGCATGCCATTAGCCATGAGCTCAGAAGAAATCAAACTTGGAGGTAGGGGGGAAGGTGTCGGCCTCAACTGAATTTTCCTACATGCATTCACAGAGAAGGGTTAAGCAAGGAGATACTACCGAAGCTAAAACCAAAACATGCAAATTAGCAGACAGGTGCCTTAAAAGATTCCACTCACCTCTGGAGAACCACTCATCTTCCAGTGCATCACCAAGGAAAGCAGAGGAGACAAATGAAGGAAGAGAAAGATGTCAACAGGATCACAGGCAAGTAAGCAGGAAAGCACAGAAAAGAAACATGAAAACAGAGGAAACACAAAGGAGGAATGGAGAAGGCCCCAGATTAGTTGCCTTTATTGTAATAGTCACCGATACTGATCTTCTACTACCACCAGCACCACCACTACCACCACCACCACCACCACCACCACCACCACCAAGCAACACCACGACCAGCACCACCACCACCACTACCTTGATTGAGACATAAAACACAAAGGAAACAGAAACAGAGCAAAAGACAGTCAAGAGCAGGCTAAATTCCATACTATGTGCAAGTTCCTAAAACTAAGTTCCTTCCTTCCCCTGTCCCACATTAAAGAGCAAGAAGCGAGGAACTAAGACTCACCTTTACCCTTCTTGGTCCCAAAGCAACTGGCAGCATGTGGCCCAGTATTGTTGGCAACACTGGGAGGGGCTTCTTGGTAACGCTCTGCCTGTGGGATCTCCCGATGAACTTGATAGGATAAATTCCGAAGGAGACAAACACAGTTCTCCACAAGCTTAGGGACCCAAGAGAAAAGGATGAATCAGAAGATAGTGCGTGCGTGCGTGCATGCGTGCGTATGTGTGTGTGTGTGTGTGTGTGTGTGTGTGTGTGTGTGTGTACACATATGCATGCATGAGAGTTCTGGGGCTAGAACTCAGGGACTGGATGCTGACTCTTAGCTAGAAGGATAACACTCTAGCGCTCTACCAAGACTTGAGCTATAGCTCCACTTCCAGCCTTTTGGTAGTTCATTGGATATGAATCTCACAAACTTCCCTGCCCAGGATGGCTTCATACCATAATCCTCAGATCTCAGCCTCCGGAGCAGGTAGGATTATAGGCATAATTGTGGATTTAATGGCTTTTGCCACTATCTGATGTATGACCCCAAACTCAGATCACTGTTTTTCCTACTTAGAAAATGTACAATCTTGGAAGTTCTTCTAAGCACCTTTAATACACACATGTAAAAGAAATTCTACTGAAAACTATTTCCTTCTAAGCTGAATATTCCCTTTAGGGAGAAAGGGCTAGAATAACTATTTTATATAATTTAATAGCCTGAGGTGGTATGTCTTTACTACAGGTACCTTGGAGATATAGTGAGTGGAATTCACTGGCTCATTAACCTACCTTGCTGTCTGAATCCTTCTGCCCAATCTCAGCTTGCACAATGAAAATGAGAGCATCAACTAAACCATCACATTCCCGAAGTTTCCGGCGAGCTTCACTCCTCTCTGAGCTTACATTCCTGAGGGGAAACCAAGAGGTGCTTAAGAAGACTGAAAACCAGGAAAGCTCTCTTAAATAACCTTCAGCATCAACAAGTTTCCTCAATACCTTTTGTATACACTCTAATGAGTACCTATTATTAGAAGCAAGACATTAGAGAGAAAGTTGACTGACTGTCTTCTGAACTTGTATAACCCTGTGAATGGGTGAAACGTATGAATCCTGTTTAGTAATGGACACCAAGCCTGGTATGTAACTCAGTGGAAGAGTACTTGCCAAGTATATACAATGCCATGAGTTTTAAACTCAAACCCAAGAAGAAGAAGAAGAATGTTTTTGTTTTGTACTTCTTTGTGTATGCACTGGCATTGGGTTTGAACTCAGGGCCTGGGCACTCAATGTCCCTTAGTTTATTTTTCACTCAGGACTGGCACTCATCACTTGAGGCACAGCTCCACTTTTTGGTGGCTCACTGGAGATAATAGTCTCATGCCCTTTGTCTGACTGGTCTAGCTTCAAACCATGATCACATCTCAGCCTCTTGAGTAGCTAGGAATACAGCATGAGCCACTGGCACCTGACTTAATTTTCTTTAAAAACAAAAACAACTTTTATTAGTCCTCAAAATATCAATCTTTGTATTCCCAAAGCCCCTTCATTTACCTAAGGCAGCCAGCTGTGTTGGTGAGTACAGATTCCCACTCAATATGGCGTGGCTTGCAATCTTCATTAGGTTCCCTTTCCCAACCAGAATGTGGAATGATCACTTCATCAGTCAAGGCGTGCAGTGCATGGTCCACAATCTCCATTTTGATTGAGTCATGGGATGAGAGATTCCACAGGGTTCCTGGCAGAGACAATTAATCAGCTAGCTCTCCGATACCCAAGATAGTATGTTTGAAGAACGTCAAAGAGAGCATCTGACTCTATCATTTCTCAGGACTAAACACCATGTGGTATTATTTAAGCTTTGTTTATGACACACAGTAAAATATATTTTTTGTCAGAGCTCAATAAGATAAACTTAGCCGGGCGCCAGTGGCTCATGCCTATAATCCTAGCTACTCAGGAGGCTGAGATCTGAGGATCGCAGTTCAAAGCCAGCCCGGGCAGGAAAGTCCATGAGACTCTCATCTCCAATAAACCACTAGCAAACCGGAAGTGGCGCTGTGGCTCAAGCAGTAGAGCGCTCGCCTTGAGCTGAAGAGCGCAGAGACAACGCCCAAGCCCAGAGTTCAAGCCCCATGATCGACCAAAAAAAAAATAAAAAAATACAAAACTTTTATAAAAACCAATACATATTATAAGCAATGCTCACTGACCCATCTATACCACTTTCTCCATATTAGTACTATGGTCACTTTGGGCCACATAATGCTTTGGTGTGGAAAGCTGTCCTGTCTATTCCTGGACATTTACTCACTGGATAACAGTACTTTCTTCCCCTAACCCAAATTATGATCATTATAAAGGGGGAGGGGATAGAAATCTCTTCCAATTAAGAAGCAATCATCTATTACTTCCTTTCTGTCTTGGAATGGTGACTGTGACACATAGAATTGTGTTCAACTCGGGCCGGGCGCCAGTAAGTAGCTCACGCCTGTAATCCTAGCTACTCGGGAGACTGACATCTGAGGATCGCAGTTCAAAGCCAGTCCGGGCAGAAAAGTCCATGAGACTCTTATCTCCAATAAACCACTAGAAAACCAGAAGTGGCACTGTGGCTCAAGTGGTAGAGTGCTAGCCTTGAGCTGAAGAGCTGAGGGACAGTGCCCAGGCCCAGAGTTCAAAAAGAATTGTGTTCAATTCATACTAGTGGATAACAACCTGGAAAGCTATCATTGTAAACAAAGCAAGGACTACAAACTCAAATGTCTAGAAGGGCCAGGCAGTTGAGTTGGGACAGGCCGACATTTAAAAAGAATCACAAGACTACAAGTATTGACAGCTTTCATGTTAGGGAAACAACTTTCTTTATGACTGCAGTTAGTTGGAAATAACAGAACGTACTGACAGTTACTACAAACTGGGGAATACAGGCTTGGCCCCCAAATCAGCTCAGCCCAAACACTGACAGAGAAAAACAAATCGTCTTTACCAGCTCTTCCACATTTTTAATGGAAGCCAAATAATCTAGAATTGTAGGCAATTAATATCTTCTTAATTTTAAACATTAGCAAACAACACTTTAAAATTTCAAAAGCCTTGTATTATCTAAACAAACCTATGAGATGGCTTTAACGCACAGGTCACCAGTTTAGAACCTATAATTAAAAGTTAAAGTCTGGGGGGTTAGGAAGGTGACTTAGTGGTAGGGTGCTTGACTAGCATGCATGAAGCCCTGGGTTCGATTCCTCAGTACCACAGATACTGAAAAATCCAGAAGTGGCGCTGTGGCTAGCCCTGAGCAAAAGAAGCTCAGAGACAGTGCCCAGGCCCAGAATTCAAGCCCCATGACTGGCAAAACAAACAAACAAAAAAGTTAAAGTCTGGAAACCCCAAAGGGGCTCTCAACTTCTCTAGGGGATAACAGGGAGTCTAGTCCAGCAACTGCCTCTGGCCCAGAACTCACCAGTAATGACTTCAGTAAGGTCCATATCACGAGCCTTTCTAAGCAATCGCACCAGGGCAGGAACACCATCACAGTTTTTTATGGCAATCTTGTTATCTTGGTCACGTCCAAAAGAGATATTCTTGAGAGCTCCGCAAGCTCCAAGGTGCACTTCCTTTTTGGGGTGGTCTAACAATCCCACCAGTACTGGGATCCCCTTGAGCTTCCGCACGTCAGTCTTCACCTTATCATTGCGATAGCATAAGTGCTGCAGGTAGGCAGCCGCGTTGGACTTGACAGCATCCAGCCGGAACCCCAGCATGGCGATCACCTCTGGAAGCTCAGGCTGTCTCCAGTTTGGAGGGGGAGGTCCTCCCTTGCGCAGGCTATCTAAGCTTGCTAAACTTCCCCGTTCGTGTTGGGCCAGAGGGGCCCAATAGTACTGGTCCGATGGCACCTCTTCGCCAATCATATCTTCATAGCTCCTGCAAAGTTTTGGAAGAATCAAGAACCGAGCAGTTAAATCGAGCTTCTTGTATCCTGTCATTTATTCCTTCATCTTCTCAGCTCTAGTACACAGATCCTATCTCTCCTCTGAATGCATCGTACACTGGGCAATTTAAATCATTTTAAAGACAACTGCAATTAGGTTTAACCCTTTGTTTTTCCTGTGAAGTTTGCTGGGTCACAAAGTAACAGGCATCCAGAGAAGTTAATGCCAAAGAGCGAACCAAATTCTGATTCCTTAGCACTTATTTGAATGACACTTGACTACTATTAACTTCTCTAGACAGAGAGTAAAATAAACCTTCAGACAGCGGAGCTTAACCAAGGCAACTGACTCAGTGTCCCAGAAGTCAGCAAACAAAGCCTGGGAACAATTCTTATAAGCCCTTAGCTAAACAGTAAATGAATGAGGTGTTTACACGCAGGGAAACAGCTGGTGGAATAAGAAAGACCCTTAAACATATTTCATTATCTCAGCTTCTCCTTACCCTATTTTGGAATTATATAAGAGGAACTGAGTAGGGTGTGGTGGTACATGCCTATAATCCCACCCTTGAAAATACTAAAACAGATTCTATCAAGGTGACAGCCCACCTGAGCTATATGGCCCGGTCTCAAAAAGTAAAACAAAACAACTAAAAGGAAAGGATTCCCCTGCCCCACTCTAATGGTATTGGGATTGAACTCGGGGTTTCATGCTTGCACCCTGCCACTAGAGCCACATCCCCTCTCCCCCAGCCTTCCCTAGCTTAATTATTTTTCAGGTAGGACTCTCCAATTTTTGCTCAGGGCTGACCCAGGTTATAATCCTCCTTCCTACAGCCTTCTTCATAGCTGGAATCATAGACATTCACAGCTATACCTAGCTTATTGGCTGAGATGGAGTTTTGCCTGTTTTGGTCTGGTTTGGTCTAAACTCAGCAGGCATGTTTGAGAATGAGTTCCAAACATAACATTTTGAGTGCCTAGCCACTAGGAACAAAGCAATTGAAAGAAAAGTCAAATGGGGGATTTTTTTTTTTTAACTTTTTCCAGTACTACCAACATCCACTAGAGGGGGAGTCTGTGTTATTTATTCATAACACCAGGAAGGAAGCAACCCATTATCTGTGAGCTCATCTCACCCTATGGCTCCAAGAGAGGAGAGTCTATTGTGTGGAACTCTCCAAATAAGACCATTGTTTGTACCATGAAACCACTCCCACCGTCACTAAACCCTTAAGGTGAAGCTGAATAGAAAATCTGCCTTATGTGGACCACTCGATAGGTATTCAGTGGGACAAATCACTTAGTTAAAAAAAAAAAACTATATTATTGAACAAAATGAACAGGTTATACAGCTAAACACTTAAGAGAACAAGATGTTCATTTTACCAGGGGAGAGAGATAGGGTATAAAAAAGTACTCAAAGGATATGCACCAAAATGTTAACAGTGGTACTTTAAGTACTTTGAGGTTTCTGTATTGAGCACACTTTGTTATTTTAAGATAAGCAATTATAAGCAATGCTGGTGCTCATGCCTGTAATCCTAGCTACTGTAGTAGGCTGAGATCTGAGGATCACCATTCAAAGCCAGCGTGGGCAGGAGTCTGTGAGACTGATCTCCAATTAACCATTCAAAAACCAGAAGTAGTAGAGCTGTGGCTCAAAGTGGTAGAGTGTTTATCTTGAACAAAATAGCTCAAGGACAGCAACCAGGCCCTGAGTTCAAGCCCCACAACAGACAAAAAAAAAAAAAAAGGTAAGCAATCACAAAAATAATTACCATAACTGGATTTCAGCCACTCTACTTGCATTTTCTTCTCTTATAGACAGAAGATCAAAGTCTTTCTTTGACTTGCTTGAGGCTATGTAGCTAGTACAGAGACAGCTAGAACTCAGGTTTCTTTCAGTGCTTTGTATAAACCACTGCTTCACTATTTAAAGTTTGACCTTGTATTACTCTCCTAGGCCGGGAACAGGAAGTAGCAAATGTTCTTGCTAGTTGAGCAGGTTTCCAAGTCCAGTGCCACACTGGAACAAACCCAAGTACCGGGCCTCAAACCCTCACAACGTCCACCCAGATAGTGACAGCAGAGAGAGAATGGTCTGGCCATCCACACCCACTGAGTTCAATAACTCTTTTCTAATGAGGAAGTCAGAAAAGCAGACTTGCAGAAGAGTGAGCCATCATCCAAAACACTGCTTCAAAGATAGCAGTTATCTACTACTGCTACAGGCTGCCCCTCCAGGAATAAAAGGTGAGTCACCTGGGAGCTGGATTAGCTAACCTAGACATCTGACTCAGGCTGAGGCAATGGGGCCTCTACCCCAGCCCAGTTCAGTTCACTATTAGCCAATACTACGTAATTCATAAAGGAGGTCATAACCTCACAGGAGAAATCCCCCACCATCAAGACAACCATAAATATCCCTATTTTCTTACTATCATCTCACTTTGACAGCGAAACACTGACTCTGATTTGTTCTACAACAGACTGTGTAGCCAGCCATGGGCCTTTGCTGACAATGTCAAAAGAATCATTTTCATGTTTAAAAAACAGAATAACATGACAAAGATGATAACATGTAGCCAACAAAGCCTAAATAAGTTTGGAAAATGCTTGCTGATCCCATTCTAAAGCATCTTCTCAAGGCAACCAAGAAAACCACCACACTAGTCTAAATTCCAACTACTCAGCCTAAGCTAACTCAGGAGACTGAGATATGAGGACCAAAAATTGAAGCCAGGCAGGGCATGGAAAGCCCAAGAAACTTGTATCTCCAATTAACCACCAATAAGCCAGAAGTGGAACTGTGGCTCAAGTGGGAGAGCTAACAACAACAACAAAAAAAAAAAAAAGCTCAGGGCTGGGAAGGTGGCTCAGCGGTAGAGTGGTTGCCTTGCAAGCATGAGGCCCTGGGTTCGATTCCTCAGCACCAAATAAACAGAAAAAGCCGGAAGTGGTGCTGTGGCTCAAGTGGTAGTGCTAGCCTTGAGCTGAAGAGCTGAGGGACAGCACCCAGACCCAGAGTTCAGGCCCCATGAGCGGCAAAAAAAAAAAAAAAAAAACTCAGAAAGCTCAGAGACAGTGCCCAAACCCTAAGTTCAAGCCACAGGATGAGCACAAGCGAGCGTGCGTGCACGCACGCACGCACGCACACACACACACACACACACACGCACGCACGCACGCACGCACACACACATGCATCCAATCATTTCTTTTTTCATCATCAAAGAATCCCCAGGGACAAGTAAAGTCAGAAGAGGCAGACCTTTTGGGAGTGTTGCTAATGTATATCCTTTGATGTATGCCCTTTGTAACCAAATGTAAGACACAAAGTATAAGGGCTTTGTGAGGTTAAGGGTATTTTTGTTATTGTTTTACCACTGAGATTTAGGACCAACACAAAAATGGTTCTTAAAATATTCCCTTTGGGGCTGGGAAGTTGGCTCAGTGGTAGAGCCCTTGCCTTGCATGCCTGAGGCCCTGGGTTCGATTCCTCAGCACCACATAAGCAAAAAGAAAAAAAAGCCAGAAGTGGTGCTGTGACTCAAGTGGTAGAGCGCTAGCCTTGAGCTGAAGAGCTGAAGGACAGCGCCTAGGCCCAGAGGTCAGGCCCCACGACCAAACCAAAAAAAAAAAAAATCCCTAAACTATCCTTTCTGGCTCTGAAAGCCTAATAATCTCAACTGTGTTCCTAAGAGAAACTAGAAGCTAAAGAAATTCCCAGCAACAAGTAAGTATTCAGAGGCACCAAATGCCTCCTTCCGCAGCTTCTACCCCCAAAAGGAGGCCTCTTAGCCAGAGACCACAGAAACCACAGAATACAAGCAAAGTCCACTCTCTAGGATATAGACCAAGGACCATCACAAGTCACTTCCTACAATTAAAATATGACTTCCATTTTTTTTTTTTTTGGTCAGTCATGGGGCTGGAACCTGGGCTTGGGCGCTGTCCCTCAGCATTTCAGCTCAAGGCGAGCGCTCTACCACTTGAGCTACAGTGACACTTCTGGTTTTCTGGTGGTTTATTAGAGATACAGAGTCTCACGTCTGGGCTGGCTTTGAACCTCGATCCTCAGATCTCAGCCTCCTGAGTAGCTAGGATTACAGGCGTGAGCCACCAACACCCGGCTCAGTAATTTTTTTAAAAAGACAATTTAGCAAGTCAGAAAAGGGAAAAGCAGAGGGGGACAGGGAATAATAGATGGTTCCATAAAAGGAAAATGAAAGCAGTCATCCTGAGATCTGAGAAAGAAAGAAAAGCTACTCTCTTTCTCCTGTATTGGAAAGGACCTTCCCTTCCCCTATTCTTGCCTACCTGAGTCGTCGACGAGGGTCAGAGGGTGTCCCGGTCCGACGGGCAGTGCCATAATCAGACATCATGCCATAATCCAGGTCATCATAGGCCATGCTACGCTGGTCATCCTCTAGCCCGTAAGGCTCTGGATGAAAGCGATGCAGATCCACGCTGCTCCCACCTACCCGAACCTGGGGCTGGGGCCCATAGACATCCTGTCTACTGGGGGCCCGGTAGCCCTCCATGCTGGGCCTATACCGCTCTTCAATGCGGGTCACCCGGGACAGACTGCCATAGTTGTCACTGCCGCCCGGATAACCATCTTCATAGTGGCGGCTGTATCCGTCAGGAGGGTAGTGGAAGTTCCTAGGGAGGGTAGCAGTGCCTGCTTGGCCCACATAGGGACCAGGTCCCCCATTGCCATTCTTGCGGAAGTCACGACCCAAAGTCTGGATGTAGTTGTTCGAAACTGCTGAGGGATCCAGAGGCAGCCCATCTGGTCCCATAGGGACTGGCTGGACTGTCCGAGTTGTCACAGTCTTCACTACTTTCTTGACCTTTATTTAAGAATGGGAAAAAGAAAACCGGCCACACTAAGAAAAGACACTCTTCCCTTGGTATCTTTACCTAGAAATGGATTCTTTTCTATCATCAACCTTTCTTTTCTATCCTTTAGGAGTCACCAGCAGGAAAACTGCCCTGGCGGTAACTGTGCCTCTAAAGGAAGTTACTCCGCAGCTAAATATACCCGCTGTCTTCCTCATTCCATTGCATTTTCCTGGATCTCTTTTTATTTTTTCTGCTTGGCCAGAGATTACGGCATTTGTACAGCTCAGTCACCCTTCACCCACCTAACCCCTAACCAAGTGCTTAACCTTTCCCTTAATAGAGACCATAGGGGGGGCCTCTTCTGCTACTGCAAAAACCTCATGCAATCTCAACTTACAGTGGTCTCCGTGCGACGAGTGGTCCCATCATCTGAGGTTTCCACAGAGACAACAGACATGGCTCCCTCAGGGTCTTCCTCCGTGTAGGTCTCCACGATCTGCCCTGGCTCCTGCATCCTGGGGATGGTGCTATACAGAAGGTGACTGTGATCCTACAAAAGAAACAAGAATGTATCAATAATCCATCCTAATTAGAAGCACCAAGTGCCCCTGGAGAGAGCAGCACGTCACACATTTTGATGCTATCATATTTTAAACTTGTATAGTAGAAGTTACTCTAGCTACATTGGCAGAGATAGCGCATTTAACTACCAAGGTCACCAGAGGGTCATCTGAGTGATCCTTCAAAGGGGCATCTTATACTGGGAACATGGCTCAAGTGGTAGAGCATTGCATAAGAAGTGTAAGGATCTGAATTCAAACCCCAAAGACTGAGGGAAAAAAAAAGAAAGAAAGAAAACAAAAGGATGAGCAGCTTACCTGTAAAGGTATTTTAAGGTAAACCATAATAGTCCCCAAAACAGTTATTTTCTGACTGATTCTATGTTGTCTTACAGATATTATTCAGCTAGATTTGGGGTAGTTTTCTGCCAAGTAGAAACATGTCCCCAGCAAAAAAAGTACTTGAAGACCACCAGAGGAAAGAGACAGAAGGCAATGATAAAGACCAATGTTCATTAAAATATATTTCAATACAAAAGATAGGCTCACACCTATAATCCTAGCTACTCAAGAGGCTGAGATCTGAAAACTTCGAGCTGGAAGCCAGCTTGGAGAAACAAATTTGAGAGATTGTATCTCCAATTAAACTGCTAAAAGAAAACAATAAAATAAAATCAGAAAATAGAGGTATAGCTCTAGTAGTAGAGTCCATCCCAGGTCAAAAAAAAAAAAAAAAAAAAAAAAACTGAGTGAAAACACAGACTCTGAGTTCAAGCCTCAGTACCTGTATATGGTACACACACAAACACACATGCACATGCACACACACATGTGCATGCACACACACAAAGACATTATCTATTTTGGAGAGCTATCTTTTTGCTTTTCTAAATAACAGATGTTTATAATGTGCCAGGTACTTTGTAAGACACAAATATGTGTTAAAGGCTGGGAAAGTAAAAAGATAAAAGAGTGAAGCAACCCAAGCCTTGACCCAAAAGAATTACCTGGGGTCCGTTGAGTTTCAAATCTGCAAATTTCTGTCTCTCAAGGTCAGCATCGCCCACAAACCGGCCGTTCTGAAACACAGTCCACAAGAAGACAATTCATTTTGTGGCCTTCCTCTGCTCTATCAAACGTAAATGTCTTTTTTCCAAATGGAATATTGTGGCCTGAGGTCTTAATGCCCCTTAGGCTTAGCACTTTGCTCAATATTGAAATCAAGCCTGGGATTCGATGAGGCTGGGTGTCTGAGACATAAGAACCTAAGATCCATGAGGACACGGGGATTCTCCTTCATTTACTAGTTTTGTTTAAAGCTGTATCCTGGTGCCTTGAGCTGTGCTGTAACAGGCATTCAAAACTTACTTTCTGAATGAATAGCAGAGACTTAGGTGAGTTCCTTTTGGGAAAGCCCTAACAATATATGAAAAGTTGGAAAGACTAAGTTGGGGGAAGGTGGAGTGTCCAAATATGTTCTTTACTGTTCCATGACTTTTGGTGCTCTGCTACCACTGGGAAACACCCATTCCAAGCAGTTTTATTTTTAAAAATCTAAAGAGAAAAGTCTTCCTCTCCATATCTGAAGAAAAGAGATATCACAATCCCCCTCAAGAAAAGTCTCAACATCTTTATCATCAAATTAAAGCCAAAGAACACATTCCAAAATGTCATTCTTAGCTTCTTCTGTCTTAAGTAGTAGGAATTAACCCAATGACATCATACTATATAAAAATAAGTTTCTCTGTTCCTTTCTGAACAGAATGCAGTGAGATCCAACCACCCTGGGAGATTCTTTTCTATCCCACTCCCCTTTACATAGAGAGTAAATGCTAGAAGACAGGAAGTTAAACATTATTTTGAGGAAGAAGGAAGGGTGTGGTTTCATTGCTAAGCAGAAGTTTAAAATAAGAGACTGAAAGAGAAATCAAGAACAAGAACTAAATCCTGGAATTCCCCACTACCTCTGTATCATCCCTAATCCTCTACTCTAGTTACTATAAAACATAAAAAAGTTTTGCATGGTAGTGCACCCCTGTAGCCCCAGAACTTGAGAGGCTTGAAGCAAGAGGATCATGAGTTCCAGACCAGTCTGGAATACAGACTGAGACCCACTCTAATTAATTAATGAGTTAATTTGCAGGAATGATGCAAAGGCACAGCCTCTTTCAAACTCCTGATTATTCCCAGTTGGATTTCTGTCTTCTTCATCAACTGCAAAGCTTCTCAGTAAGAGGGAACATCTCTATCTTAAAATTTAAATAGGCAACCCAGCAAAATGCCTGTAATCCCAGCATGCAGGAGGCAGAGACAGGGAAATCGAAAATTTCAAAGCCAATCTGAGCTACACATTGACATCATGCCTCAAAGAAATTAGTAAATAAAATTTTAGAAAAGGTCTGTGAATATAACATAGTGACAGAACACTTATCTAGCATGCATAGGCCCTATGTCCAAGAACACTTATCTAGAAAGCACAGGCCCTATGTCCCATCCCCAACTGTTTTTTATTTTTAGGAATGAAACAGAAAGTTGGATGCCAATAGCTCACACCTGTAATCCTAGCTACTCAAAAGGCTGAGATCTGAGGATCATAGTTCAAACACAGACCGGGAAGGAAAGCACTCTTAACTACCAAAAAAAAAAAGCTGGAAGAGAAGGTGTGGTTCAAGTGGTAGAGGGGTAGCCTTAAGAGTAAAAAAAAGAGACAGAACTCAAGCCCTGAATTCCAGCCCCAGGACTGGCACAAAAAAAAAGATATAGACAGACAGACAGACAGATAGATAGATAGATAGATCTGGAATCTAGGTCTAGAACATGCAATGTCCCAAGTTCAAATCACCCCAGAAAAAAAAAATACTAATTTCTTATGCAATTAAGTAATCAAGAAAAAGATCTGTAAAGGTAGGCGTATTGTAGTAATAATAAGAGATCAGAAAGATCTCTTAAAATGCAGCCTATCAAGCAATGCCTAACACACACATGCAGATGCATACACACACACACATACACACTTGATTTTTTAAAATACCCCGATTACATCACAGCAGTCAGACTCCATAAACCTAGGAAACAGCAGATGCTTCTCATTTCTAACACCAAAGCTCCCAAGTCACCTCTCAGAGTGGGCCAAACCATAGACCACTGGCTCCTGTGGTTATTTAGGTTAAATAGCAGCATAATGCGCCCTCTCCATTCTAACCAACAGAATTAACAATGACCCTCCCCCCCCCCCCCAGACATGACTTATGCAGCCAACAAAAAGAGCACACAAGGACAATAAGAAACAGGAATATACAATTTATGAACACTGTAATGCCTTCTGGGAACAGATTGTTCTCTGAAGGAGACTGAACCCCCAACTTCTCCAACCACTAACTAGACATTTACTAAGCTTTTGATACAAAAAAAAAAAAAAAAAAATCAGAGAAAACAGAAGTCACTTGAGTATAGCTCCAAACGGCATTATCCGCCATTACTAGGACTGCAACCCAGTCCAGAACCCACTCTAGCAAAACAGGAAGTCAAATGCACGCCTCTCATGGCTACCCATCTCATCACCAAGAGGAGGGTGGGTAGCTTCCCGAGGATCAGAGCCTCTCTGTGACCATGCCAAAGTCCTACCTGCAGGTCTGATGGAGAGAGGGGTTACCTGATGCCGGCGGGTGAGGGTGCCGTTGGCCATGAGTGGGTTGGCATCTTGTGGTGAGACCCGGACGCGTTCCAGCTGCGCCGAGACGTGGCGCCGTTCCTCCTCCAGCGCCCGGGTCAGCTTCTCAAACTGGGCCTCTTGTTCCTTCACAGAGGCCAAGATGCTGGCGGTCGACTCCACCTCTGAGTCGTCCATGAAGGTAAGGGGCAGAGCCGCCGCGGGACAGGGTAAAAAGGAAGGTGGATCACAGAGGGAGCAGGAAGGAGGGAGAAGGTCCCCCTCACTTCACACTATCGGGAGGGTGAGAGAGAGAGAGGAGAGAAAAGATCACAGGTCAGAGGAGACAGATGAATTATTAATCCCGGAGCCAAAGACGCCCTCTTGTGGTTCTTATTGCAGGGCAGAAAGCAAGCCACCACCACCAAGCTGGGAGCCCACCACCACCACCAGGGTCTGCTCAAGCAGGGATGATGGATGGCCTTTGCCCACCAGCGCCTTCTCCACCTCACCGCACAGATCCGTGGGAAGGAAAGGCCCCTACACTGTGGGTAGGCCAGGGACGGTGTGACTGCGGGCTGTAGTCGTGATGCGAGATTAAAATTAGGCTCTCTTTTCCTGGAAGATTCTGCGGGCATCAGTTTATTCAAAGTTGTAACTCCCTGATATAAACAGGCACTTGGCTTCCTGCCTGGGAGGGACAAGCCACTTTGAGAGATAATGGGGCAATACAGACAGATTACTCTTCCTCTCCCCAAATCTCAACACTGAAACTACTGCAGAAGTGGCAAAACACACTAAGTTAATATGCTAAACTAAAAGGCCAATTGAGAAATGGAAATGGTAATAATTAATAATAATAATAATAGCCTATCATCAAAGGTAGAAGACAAAATTAAGACTTTCATGTTTCATACATTTATAAAGAGGGGTCTTTCTACCTTGTAATATATATTACAATACTAAGGGCAAAATGCATGTCTTAACTGAGACATGAGAGCCATATAATCACAAAACACTCTATGTGTAAAAATGAGTATTTTCAGAGACCTTTAGCTCTCAGGAACAGGGAACTGGGCTCAAACTCTAACGATGGAAAGTAGTTCAGTTCCCAACCTGTACACCTCAGTGGCTGGAACTTCTATGTCTCTATAATCCTGCAGAAAGCTCTAAATAGACTCTTTCCCCTTTCACATGTTCCAACTCAAAGTATCCATGTATCTAGACAGTTTATAGTGCTATAAGATACAATAAAACGCTACTTATGCAGAAACAAAGAGCTCCTCCAGTCCTTATATTAAGAAACAGCCCATGGTTAATAAATAGGCATGATGATCATACTATTAGACTCAGGGGTTTTCATGATCAGTTCAAAACATTCAGTTGAAAGGCAAGCTAGGAAATAATTCTCCCCTACTCCCCATCCTTTTATTGAAAAAAAAAAAAAGGCACTTCGATTTCTTTTTATTCTTAATAAACATATATTCCATACACACCTGTTAAAAGAAGGGTCGTAACTGATTGGTTTAACACAGAGACCAGCCCAGTCTAGATTCAAAAGAATCATGGAAGATGCATCCCAGCCACCACAGCAAGGAGGAAGCAGGAAGGAGAGAGCTGCAGAAATACGCGAAGGAAAAATGGGAATGAGAGGAAAATAAAATATACCCAATGCATAAACACCTCAGAGGAGTGTGGGGAAGTATTAGGAAGGAGAGGTAATCATCTAAAATATGACTTAGAATTGCTTACTGTGACAACTGCTCTTTGAACTTTACTCTGTTCAGATATTTGGGCTTTAGATGGAGGCTTATGTATATCTTTTATTAGTTATTTGACTTATTTGTGTATTCTTGTTAGTACTTGAACTCAGAATCCTGAGCTCTTGCTTGGCTTTCATGGTTCATGGCTAGGATACTACCACTTGGGCCACCCCTCCAGTCCAGCTTTTTGCTTATTTATTAAAGAAGGAGTCACAAAATTTTCCACCTGGGCTTGTTTTGAATCTTGCTTTACCACTTGAGCCACAGCACCACTTTTGGCCTTTTCTGTTTATGTGGTGCTGAGGAATCGAACCCAGGGCTTCACGCACCCTAGGCAAGCACTCTACCACTAAGCCACATTCCAAGCCCTTTGTTGTTTTGAATCTTGTTGTTCCAGGACTCTGCTTCCTTAGAAGTTAGGGTTGTAGGCATGGGCCATGGGCACCAGGCTTGGATATAGTTTTAGGTTCTATTAATGTGCCTGAGTTTCTCCACTTGTAATTCCACAAAGAACTATAATGGATTAGAATATGGATAAACACCCAAATATCTCCTGTTTACAAAAAACCAAACTGGAGAGGGAAAAAAAGAAAAGAATTGCTGTCAGATGCCCTTCCCCCTCCTTCCCACCCTTAAGGCAGAAACCTCAAAACCCAGTCCCAGCATGCCCATAAAGACATTGAGAAACCAGTGCAATAATCCTGGTGGGGAAGACATGTGAGGACTAGCCTAGGCTGAGCCTTTTGCTTAGGTTCTCTTTCCCACGCTCCCCAGAGCCCCACCAAGCACAAAAGCTTGGGCCTCTTTGCCTTGGCGTATATGCAGCGTTTAGCAAGCAAAAGTATCCTATCCAGAGATACCCAATAAACTCCGAATTGATTTGTCCCTAAATCCAGTGCCACCCCCCAACACCCCTACTAACCAACTCTAAGCTCCCACAATTGCTATCAACTCCTATTCTTGCTTTCTTCCAACAGGTTGCTCCAAGATCTTTCTTTTGTAAGTAGTCTTAGTCTTTAAAAAAAAAAAAAAAAAAATTGCTCCCTCTGCCAGGTGGCTCATACCTGTAATCCTAGTTTCCCAGGAGGCTGGAATCTAAGGATCAAGAAAGATCAAGAGCCAGGTGCCGGTGGCTCTCGCCTGTAATCCTAGCTACTTCAGGAGGCTGAGATCTGAGGATTGCGGTTCAAAGCCAGACCCGGTAGGAAAGTCCGTGAGACTGTTATCTTCAATTAACCACCAGAAAACTGGAAGTGGCACTGTGGCTCAAGTGGTAGAGCGCTCACCTTGAGCTGAAGACAAGGCCCAGGCCCAGAGTTCAAGCCCCACAACTGACAAAAACAAAGAAAGAAAGATCAAGAGAAATGCCCTGAGACTCTTATCTCTGATTAACAACCAAAAAACTGCAAGTAGTCGAGCGTTAGCCCTGAGAAAACAAAAACAAAAACAGAAGCTTACACTGCTTAGACTCAGGCCCTGAGTTCAAACTCCACCCAACTGCTCCCTTTTCAACTCATTCCTTCACTTTATAGTTAATTGTACATAGCTCTTATCCACTATATAAAATGACCTTCCATACCAAAAGGACCCAAATTAAGATTCTTCCAGTTACTGAGTTAGAAAAGGGCCAGTACTGGTTACCACTCTGGCAGCCTCCACCCTATAATCTTCTTTGCTCATAAAAGCTTAAACTACCACCACCACTGTACTACCAAGGGGCATACAAAAACAACACTCTCTGCTATAGGAATTGTCACCCTGCTATAAAGATCCACTTTTTACCCCCACAACTTTAATTCAACAACAAGAATTAGGAAGAAAGATTGAGGAAAATATGCAGAGTTCTACATGAGAAGGCAGTACTTCCCCATCTCCATGGCTTTACAGCTGACCACAAGGTTCTAATTTGGAGAAGACAGCACAGCTGAGGTCAGATTCCTGAATCTAAAAATTTGCAGAGATTTTTCTGCCTGATAGAGAAGAAACCCTGAGGTCTGGGTCTGGTCCCAGTCCTGGCTCTTGCCACTAGCCAACAATGGCAGTAAGCTCCTGCCATGGCCTCACCTCCGACAACAAATCATACCAGTTCAATCTAACACAGAGTTGCTATTAGGATAGGGTGAGATAATGTACATTATACAATTGTGAGGTATTAAGTTGTTTCAAGAGTTAGTTTCAATCTTCCAATTACATTACTTCATGGTAATGTCTCAGATCCAAAGTATTTTGTGAAGCAGTAGATTAAATTAACTGGATCAAGAACATAACTGGGTTCGAAAGAGTAGATGAGCTGGTTTTCCTACTCCTGCTGTGTTTACTAAGATGTTCCACCTAGGTCCCACCTTCAGTCCCAGTGTTTCTGGGACAGAAGGTGCTTCTCTAATGCCCAACAGTCATCACAGCATTACAAAGATCTTGAGTCTCTATAAGAGACCTTACTAGTTTATTACCATGGAAAATGGGAACATGGGGGGAAAATATTAATGCTTTATATTTCAAACAATAATTACAAACAAAAGTATTGTATTGCAATTACTGTATTGAGATAAAAGTAACCAAGGTCCCACAGTTAATAGCAAATTTAGAATTTAAGCTCAGTTCTATACATGCCATTCTAAAGGTGACATTCTCTTTCTAAACTATCTTGTCGAAATAAGGTAGATGGTCAAGAGCTTTATTTTTCCCTAACCATCATAGGAGAGGAGGGAAAGAAAAGGTTTCTTTTTTTTTTTTTGCTGGTCATGAGGTCTGAACTCTGGGCACTGTCCCTCAGCTCTTCAGCTCAAGGCTAGTGCTCTACCACTTGAGCCACAGCACCACTTCCAGCTTTTTCTGCTTATGTGGTGCAGAGGAATTGAACCCAGGGCCTCATGCATGCAAGGCAAGCACTCTACCACTGAGCCACCTTCCCAACCCCTCCATTTTTCTCTAAGTTAAAGAATTATTCATGTCTACATATGTATAAATAAGGGGGAACAAAAAAATGAGAGGAAAAAGAAACTATGAGTAGAAGAAGAGAACCAAGTATCAGACAATGTACAGTGGACAGTCTCATAACTCAAGAGACCTGATGAAGTCTCTTCTCCACACCATACACATCATAAAAAGATTACACTACAGACCAGAGTCTGCAAGCCATTAACTGACTTTGGCAGATAGTCAGGAAAATCTTATAAGTCTGCTCCAACACCTTTCAGATTTACCACTTCATGTTTTCAAATAAATTACCCTTTTTTTCCCCTAAAAAAAATAAATAAAGATCTCGGGTGGCTCATGCCTGTAATCCTAGCTACTCGGGAGGCTGAGATCTGAGGATGGAGGTTCAAAGCCAGCCCGAGCAGGAAAGTCCGTGAGATTCTTACCTCCAATAAACCACTAGAAAACCAGAAGTGGTGCTGTGGCTCAAGCGGTAGAGTGCTCACCTTGAGCTGGAGTGCAGGGATAGCGCCCAAGCCCAGAGTTCAAGCCACACAACCGACAAAAAAAAAAAAAAAAGTATGGCGTCAGTGGCTCACACCTGTAATCCTAGCTACTCAGGAGGCTAAGATCTGAGGATCATGGTTTGAAGCCAGCCTGGGCAGGAAAGTCCATGAGATTTTTTTTTTTCTCTTGTTAGTCATGGAGCTTGAACTCTTGGCCTAGCACTCTACCACTTCAGCCATTATGCCACTTACCATTTTCTAGTGGTTAATTGGAAATAAGAATCTCACGGACTTTCTTGTCACAGCTGGCTTCAGAGAACCTCAGATTTCAGCCTCCTGAGTAGCTAGGATTACAGGCTTGAGCCACTAGTGTCAGGTTCCATGAAATTTTATCTCCAATTAAATACAAAAAAAGCTTAAAATGGAACTGTAGCTCAAGTGTTAGAGCACTAGCCTTGAGCTTCCAAAGAAGCTCACAGAGCCCAGGCTCCTTCAAGCCCAAGGACATTTATACTCTCTCTCTCTCTCTGTCATCAGAATTCTAAACCAAAATCAGTTAACTTAAATCAAAGGCCCAGACAACTCAAAGAGTTAGACAATGCTAACCACAGTCCCTGGGATGGTTTTGTGCCACCATAAACTATATAAATATAATATCGAATTATGATTCTTAGAGGTTAAGAAACTAAGTTTGGGGGCCAGACACCAGTGCCTCATACCTGTATTCCTAGCTACTCAGGTTATGATCTGAACAACTTGGTTCAAAGTCAGCCTGGGTAGAAAAGTCTTCAAGACTCTTACCTCCAATTAACTAGCAAAAATAAAAATCTGGATTAGAGGCATGGTTCAAGTGGTAGAACACAAGCCATGAATGAGTAGAAAAAGTGGAGTAAACGTTTGAGGCTCTGAGTTCAAGCCCTCATATGAGAGATAAAGAAAGTAAGACAGACTGGGCACCAGTGGCTCAAGCCTGTAATCCGAGCTACCCAGGAGGCTGAGATCTGAGGACTGCAGTTCAAACCCAGCTCTTTCTATCTCCAGTTAACCACCAGAAAGCCAGAAGTAGAGCTGTGGCTCAAAGAGTGCTAGCCTTGTGTAAAATTGCTCAGGGACAGCACCAGGTGCTGAGTTCAAGCCCCACAAACAAACAAAAAAAAAGTAAGAGAATCTAAGTTTTCATATTTAGCTGAATTCAAATCCTAAATTTAATGAATACCTAACCATATAATAAGGTACCATATAATCATGCTGGGGATGCAACTCAGTGATGAGGGCCTAATTCCATTCCTAGCACTACCAAAAGAAAAAAACAAACAAAAAAAAAAAAAACACTAATCTATCCAAAATTCAGCCTTATTTCTGTAAAATGGAGGAATGAAAATACATAAGGTAGTTTATGAGGATTGAAAAGATCTTGATGAGGGCTGGGAAG